CTTCGGCGCGGAACCGAAGCAGGATGGCGAGCAGGTCCTGCTGCAGCTTCGGACCGCTGAGCAGGGTGTCGTTGATCGACAGACCGTCCGGGCCTCGCGAGGACGCGTTGAACACTACCCGCAACTTAGTGGTAGTGCTATCGAGTTTATACACACCGTGGTGCGGTAGATAATAAATGTGGCCATCCGACGGGAATGGATTGCGAATTACCTCCATGTGTCCGCTATCGAGATAGTCCCGCATGAAACTATTGTAACCAGCTCTGAACTCCGGATCAGATTTAAATCGACGTTCTAGTGCGCGGAGACGACTAACCGCAATGGAGCGCGAGCCGACGAATGTAGGAGGATCCGACACGAACGGGTACGAGACCACGAAACGACCCGAGGGGTCACGATACGTGGTCTTGGCGAAGATTTCTTTGCAGCGTCGATCCTCGTCCGAACAAGAAGCGTCCTCCGGCACCTCCTCCAATTGCCAAAAACGACCCACCGATGTCGCGATCGACTCGAGCGTAGTCGCGAATGACCTCAGGGGCGCTGCCTGGACTGATGGGGATACCGCGCCCGTCAGAACCCATCCGAAGACTGAATTGAAGGCGTCGGGTTCTCCCCTTTCCCCCTTACGACGGCCCTCCCGTAGCACCGACACAAACGAGTCCGCCCCCAGGAGGATGTCAACACCGCCGGGCACGAAATACTCGGGATCCGCGAGCGGCAATCCCTTCAAGTGTTTCCACGGCTGGACCTCCACCTTGTCATTAGGCAGCGGCGAGGTTATGCGAGAGAGGACCGTAGTCTCTATCGAGAACCGAGTGTCGTCGCGACCGCGCGCGCGGATCACGAGGGAGGTGAGGCCCCTCGTCGTGGCCGCCCTGGCTTCGTTTATCGCCAACACGGTTGCACTGTGTTTGGTGCGACGAAAGCCGCCCTTCCGGAGGCAGCCCTCGGTAATAAAGTTGGCCTGACTCGCGCTGTCCAGCAATATGCGTACGGGGAACGCATTGCCACGCGCGTCTATCGCCTCGGCTCGTACGGTGGACAGGAGGACGATTCTATTGGCCCGGCTAGTCATTGTTACAATCGGCGCATCCTCCGACTGAGGAGCGGGTACGGCGTCCGGTTCGGCAGGAGTCGCGCTAATGGATTCGGGCTTAGGAGTAGTATTAGAGCTCTGCTCGTAATGCAGAAGCGTATGATGCTTCGTGCCGCAGGACCGACATGCCCACGCGGACGGACAGTCTTTCATGCCATGCCCCGAGCGCAGGCAGTTGAGGCACAATCTCAAGTCGCGAGCCTTAGCCTGCCTCTCCCTCGGCGAGAGTTTTAAAAACTGGGAGCACTTCGACACGTAGTGAGACTCCTTACAAACGGAGCAATCGGCCGCGTTAGTCACGAACGAAGAGACCGGTGTGGACTTGGTTTTGGAGGACGGGCCCGCGACGGCCTCGAGAACCTGACAATGCTCCGCTAGAAATTTCGTGAGTTGTGTATATCGCGGTATCTCCTCAGCCCGGTGAGCCGACTCGAATTTTTCCCGAAGGGAACGGGGAAGCTTGTCTAACAAAAACTTCAGTAGGATAAAGTCCCATGAATCGGTAGGAAACTTCATCAATGCGAGCGCGCGCGTGTTCTCGGTAAACGTATCTAATAAGTGGTGAAGAGCCTCGGCCGTCTCCGCCTTCAATGGCTTTGCCTCGATTATCGAATTCAAGTGATGGTCCGCTAACCTTCTCTTATTCCGGTATCGATCGACCAGCGAGTCGTAAGCGATCAGATAGTACTCATCGGAAAACGGCAGGTTTTTCACCACGTTGAGTGGTTCCCCTTTGAGTGAAGCCAGCAGATACTGGTATTTCTCTATCGCGGAAATCTGCTGGTTATGTATCGACGCGTTGAACAACGCGATGAAGGAAGGCCACAACGTAAGGTCGCCGGAAAACTGCGGTAGCGGGATCTTAGGCAACTTGACCACCGAGGCCTGACCCGAGGGCTGTGCCGGCGCGCCTCCGAATGGCGCGCCCGTTTCACGGTGATATCGACTCTTTACGGCGTAATGCATTTTATCGAAACTGGCTCGGATTTCGTCCTCGACCTCGAAATCCGCCGCTTCTTGGATGACCTTCAGGTGGGTGGCCTCAAAATCGTCCGCGATCTTCGCTACGCTCGAGTAGCGAGCGAGGAAGGTCGCTCGTATTGCCGCGTCGGTCGCGGCTTGTAGGGAGAGGTCGTGTATTTCTTGCATACGCCGATTGCATACTTCGCGACGAGCATATGCGTTTTTCGACATGATGCAACAAAGGGGTCGTCCACCACAGACAGACGAAGCTAAGAGCGAAGGGTAAACGACGAATAGGCAGTCGGAGGCGACGGCAACTCGAACCAACAATATCGAAACCCGGCGAAAACAATCACGAAAGTCAAGTCGCCAAGGTGAGGGGTAACGGACGGCTCCGTTCGGTGCTCGCGCAAGTCCCGAGGGAATATTCTCGATAATATTCCTCGAGTTGAACGCGGAGAATATCAGCCGTTGGATTAGCGCGATAAACACGCGTCGCAGAGTTCGAAAGGCAAATATTCTCGATCGGTGACAATAATATTTTCGAGCGATGGTACTCTCGGACGGATCACGAATGTCGGGATAATGCAAGTGCTGGGTCGGGCGGTACGTACCTCGCAACGACGTAAACACGAGCGATGCTCGAGATTATACAGAAAAACAACGCGCGCGAGACCGGCCCGTAATCGAAGGCCACGGCCGTTGTCTCTATGCGCGAAAGTATCGCTGGCCCGGAATACTCGGATATTCGACCGAATATTTCGGTTACGATCAAGTCAATTAAATGGCGACTAATTACCGCGGCGAGCGCGGATTCGATTTTAAGGCGATTAACGGCTGCGGCCCGAGCTATGACGAACGAAGTTCGCACGCGTATTCCCGTTGCGAAGCTAGCGTTGCACGAGAGATACCGCGCGAGACACGAGTTGTCAGCACGCCGAGCGTTATTGCACCTCGTTAATGCAAGAATAAGAATTCAGCGAATTCGCGTAGATTACAGGCGGCTAATGGCCGATTGCGCGATGCTACGCGAGAATTCCCTTCGCGAAGCAAGCGTTGCGATACGGGAGATCCTGCGAGACCCGCAAGGTCACGCGCTATTGCACTACGCGTTACAGAAAGATTCGGTGACTTAGAACAATGAAAGGACACGCGAAAGGTCGGCGGTAATAGACTAATCGCGAAGATATGACTATCCGGCTCGAAGGACCAGATGCTCGGGGGGCGGTAGAGCCGTACCCGGATTTGCGATAAAGCGAAGCTCGAAGGACCAGGGGGTGTAAGTCTCCCCAAAGCGAGTTATTTTAAGCAAATGCGACTCACCGTTCGTTGTGCCGTCGACTCCTGGATGCTTCGGCT